CATCTAACTATGCGGAGTTTGGTTTTGAGGTAGTCCAAAACGAGTTTTACGACAAGTCGGCGCTTTGCGACAATATGAGTCGGCAAGTTCCGGACAGAAAACCGATCTGTGGAGATTCGTCGTCAGAGATTTTTTTTTTTTTTGAGAACAGGCGCAAACTAATGCGCGTGCGGATGTCATCCATAAAATTAAATTGGTGTGGTGTTATTTACAAATGTTCTATTGTGTGAATGTAGTGTTAGAAACTACCGGTCGCCCAAGTCCATCAAGTTTTTTGCCAGGCCACGAAGCTTTGTAACGTTGTTGCCCGGGTTTCCACCTAATTTTTCGAGCAGTAGGTTATTTGATTAGCATCAGTAATAAATTATCTAGTAAACCTTTTTCGCTTTGAATATTTTATTATAAACAAATATTAGCCATTTGCTGTTTCATTTCCGATATGAAACAGAGTCTGTTTGCGCTTATGTAGTAATAGTAATACAACATCACGTGTGCACTTTATGATATGGAAATGTTTGAAGTCATACCTTTCCATCTCAGTACACCACAAAGCATCAGACTTTGTTCCCATCTTGACAGGCAGGATTTGCTCCTTACATTGTTTAATAGAGTTAGCTTTAGAGGTAACTGTTCTCACTTTATTGAACTGTGTGAATAAATTGTAAATTGAAAAGTAATTGACATCAGATGGCACCTAAAGTGGAGTCCTGTTATTAATTAATTAAATTAATTTTTACTTATACATACCAGCGCTTGTCTATTACAATGCGGCTCAAGACAACTCTGTAAATTAAGAGAGTTGTTGGATTCAGTCGCCAAACTCGGTCTAAGCAGAGAAAATATAAATAAATTACTTCATTGTCCCCATAATGTGTATGAAACTATTACCGGGTAAATGAAACTAACAAGATATGTCTATCTCAGTATGTGCGTTCTACACAACCATATATGGTCATATGTCTATCTCAGTACGCGTGTTCTGCATAGCCATATATGGTCATATGTCTATCTCAGTACGTGTGTTCTGCATGGCCATATATGGTCATATGTCTATCTCTGTAAGTGTGTTCTACACAGCCATATATGGACATATGTCTATCTCTGTACGTGTGTTCTACACGGCCATATACGGTCATATGTCTATCTCAGTGTGTGTGTTCTACACAGCCATATATGGGCATATGTCTATCTCAGTATGTGTGTTCTACACGACCATATACATGTATTTCATACGTCTATCTCAGTACGCGTGTTCTGCATGGCCATATATGGTCATATGTCTATCTCAGTATGTGCGTTCTACACGACCATATATGGTCATGTCTATCACAGTATGTGTTCTACACGTCCATATATGGTCATACGTCTATCTCAGTATGTGTGTTCTACACGGCCACATATGGTCATATGTCTATCTCAGTGTGTTCTACACGTCCATATATGGTCATATGTATCTCAGTATGTGTGTTCTACACGGCCATATATGGTCATATGTCTATCTCAGTATGTGTGTTCTACACGACTATATGTCATGTCTATCTCAGTACGTCTGTTTTGCATGGCCATATATGGTCATATGTTTATCTCAGTATGTGCGTTCTACACGACCATATATGGTCATATGTCTATCACAGTATGTGTATTCTACACGACTATATGTCATATGTCTATCTCAGTACGTCTGTTCTGCATGGCCATATATGGTCATATGTCTATCTCAGTATGTGTGCTCTACACGTCCATATATGGTCAAATGTATCTCTGTAAGTGTGTTCTACACGGCCATATATAGTCATATGTCTATCTCAGTACGCGTGTTCTACACGGCCATATATGGTCATATGTCTATCTCTGTAAGTGTGTTCTACACTGCCATATATGGTCATATGTCTATCTCTGTAAATGTGTTCTACACGGCCATATATTGTCATATGTCTATCTCTGTAAGTGTGTTCTACACTGCCATATATGGTTGTGTTACTCTGGACATTTTAAATAACAAACGTCTGACTTTACTGCAATATGGAATCTGTGTTTCTATTTCTGTTTACATAACACCACTTACAACATCAGTACAGCATTATAATAAGTGCCTGTTTTGTACATAGACTATAATGATTATTATTCTAGAAATTAAATTAGAGAAAAGACTAAAACAATTAATTAACAAATAAAATTATGTATATGAAAGTTACATAATATAAATTATATCCCCACATGTTCATGACCAATTAAGATTGAATTCAAGAATCACAGAAATGCTTGATTTTGGTGCATTTTGGAATAATATTAATAAATGAGATTTTGTGCATAAGGTGTATTACGTATGTGTAATATTTTTGACAATCAGCCAAGGCATGTCAGGCTTATGGTTCTGTAAACACAATGACATGACACAGTCCCTTGTCATGCAATATTAAACAATAGTAAAACCAGTCAGATATTTTGAATCAGAACCCAAGTAATAATAATGTAATTCTGCCATCTTGAATAACCGAATGAATGCATGTGCATATGGTATGTATGTCAAAGCTAAAACTGCTCTACAGTATTCATGGATACAAAATGACAACCAATAACCTATTTTGAATTCAATTACTCTGCAAAACAAAGTGGCGTATCTCAAGGTAATGTTTGAATGAAATCTGCAAAGACAGAATTAAAATTTGGTTTGTGAATGACAGAAATGCCTAATTTGGATTCATTCTTTCACAAACAGTCCTTAACGGTGGAAATCACTTTGATGAATTTCGAAAACTAATTGGCCATCATGATTTGATAAGGATACAAGTAAAACATCCACAACTGAAAGCCAAGCATGAGAAGAAACTAACTGCAGCCTCAATTGTAAATTAAATCAAGTATTCACCTGTTCATCCCGGGTAGATTTCCCCAGAAATACCTTGCTCTGTGTGCAGCAGATACATCTTTTGCATCAACCAATACAGGATTACACTATAGAGTGAAATACAGTACAGGGTTACACTACAGAGTAAAAGACAGCACAGTGTTACACTACAGAGTGAAATACAGTACAGGGTTACACTACAGAGTGAAATACAGTACAGGGTTACACTACAGAGTGAAATACAGTACAGGGTTAGACTACAGAGTGAAATACAGT